AAGTTCCTTGCTGCCTTTTTTCCTCACTAGTACAAGAAACACAGGAACACTTCACATATCACTAAGATAGCTCAGCTTCTCCTAAGCACCCCACTCCCAATTCAGCGCCTCCATTTTTCTGCCTCCTCTTACTCAACAGTAAGATATATGATATACTAGATTAATCACTCGTATCTCTTATTTTTTGTTCTAATGGGTTGTCTTTTTGCTCTAGTTCTAAGTCCAGCCTTTCATTGAATTGGGGAGAAGGCAATCATATTTTTAATTACCAATAATTTCCTCTTGTTTTCCTCTAATTTTCTCTTTTTGCATAAAACCTTGTACCTACTTACAGATACCAATCCTTCATCAATATCCGAGAATATTAACTAGACTTTTAAAAAATTTGTTTTCTTCCCTAGCTTGCCTGTTTTCTTTGGTCCATTACTGACTCTATTCATCTTAGTTCTGCTCTCTGGTGCTGTTGGTTTTGACCACTGTTGGTCATCTGTTCATACTTATGAAAGAATGACAAGGTTGATGAACTCAAGTAGCTTGTGTGAAGTTCCTCTGCTAAGTGGATCAGTCTGTGAAGATTTCTGTGTAAATGGGCAAGTCATGTCACAGGGTAGGCTTCCGTAAGAAACACAGGCAGAGAGCATAAAGGTGAGCAGGGTTCCACTCCCAGTATCAGAACAGGAAGGCTTGCTCTGGGGGGAAGGGGCGGGGAATACCCTCACTGAAAGAATTAGCTCCCTCCAGGTTGTTCACTTTCTTCAGTCACAGTTTCACAGCACATATGCTCTGCATGCACTGTTTTGTTAGGATCCTCCTATTTGCTGGTTCTCTAGTTCTCTGTCCCTATCGATCCAAGCTAGGGCTTAAATATCTGTAGGCTACTCACATCCGCTTTTTTTTTTTTTTTTTTGCTGGAGTCCAGTGGCAAGATAATGGCTCATCGCAAAGCCTTGAGCTCCTGGGTGCAGGCAATCCTTTCACCTCAGCCTCCTGAGTAGTTGGAACTATAGGCATGCACCACCATGCACACCTGGCTTATTATTTATTTATTTATTTATTATAATTATTTTTTTGTAGCGACAAGATCTCGCTGTGTTGCCTAGGCTTGTCTCAAACTTCTGGGCTCAAGTGATTCTCCTGTCTCAGCCTCCTAGAGTCCTGAGATTAGATTACAGGACCATGCCTGGCCTCCTCTACCTTTTTATGCCATAAATGTGTCTGTGATCTGCTGATGATTCCACCCTAGGGATTATTTACCATGAACTAATAAGTTCCTTCAGTTCTTAAGGATTTTCTGGCACTTTTTATTAGGAAAAGCCCATGCTAGGCATAAAGGAGAGAAGACAACCTTTAGAGATAGAATTGGTTTTCATTTCTGTTCTGCCACTCACTAGCTATGCAAATACACAACATTTGTTCTAGGACTGTTTCCTTATCTATAAAGCACAGATAATATTTTTCACTGAGTTACAGTGATGATTAAATTAATAAAGTGCTGACAAATAACAGATCTTCAAATTTACTTTCCACTGTAACTTTTTTTACTTAAACACCATAAATAGGTAAGAAGATACGTAGCTATTTGGTCGATACATAGTACTAAAGAAAATATTAAATCTATCATGGGACAACCATTCTCTCGACTATATAGACACTAAGCTCAAATATTCCTTTAGGTATAACAACATGTACCCATGTCCTGTTTATAAGGGATCATTTATTATCTTCAAAAATTAGTTCTGAAGTATTTTCATTACTGTAAAATGTCTCTTATGCATTCATCTATTTAATTAGATTAATGTTTGTGTATCATCATTACCACTGTACACATTAGTTAAAGGACAACTACCATCTAAGTCCATTTTGAACATATTTACTTCAGGAACTTTGCAGTGCACTTTCCTCCCAGTAAAACGCAATAAGGAAAATGTTCAAATAGGAAAATATGTTCTGTCTCACACGGAGGCCAGGGAGAATAACGTGAAAAAAACACTTACTTGTACTTTGATCTCCCATTTGTCCATTCTTTAGATAAAATACTCACTCCCTTTTGGACTTGAAAACAACTTTCCATATAAGGAAAAAAAGTCATTGAACTTTTAGCGTGTGACAAATGTAGGCAGCTCAGACTTGTGCTAAATGTGTCTGTGCTGTCACAAGGTTCTTCTAACATTTCAACTCTATTCTCGAATTGCTATCTTGTAAAACAAAAAAGATGCTCTGATAGCAAAGATTATTCTGAAAGGTGGAGCAAGAGGAAGAAAACTTGATTTAAAAAAGGAGCAATGTTCAACTGAAATTATAGAGTTTGAAGTAAGTATAAATTGAGGGGAAGGTAAAACTCGGCAGTCTTTGGTCTTGGCTAAATAGAATCTTGAACTAAATTTCTTTATCACAATACATACATTAGACTTAATAATTTGTATACCTACTTCCCTCTGTGCTATGTCATTAAAGTTTTAAATGACTGTATCAACAGTCTTTACGCAAAAATGACCTTTATTTTAGCCCCCCTTAGAATTTTGGAAAAAAATTCATTTAGTCAATTAATAGCTATTGATAGATGTAGATAGAGATATAATCTTGGTTAAGAAATCAAATTATGTTTTTAAAAGTTTTTTAGCTTCATTAAAAAGAAATTATAAGAATAAACCCTAAACTGTTTACAGTGGGTACTTCTGAGCATTTGGGGCGTGGGATGGGCAGAGGGGATGTGTATTCTTTAAAATTCTGTGTGTTTTTTTTTTTTTTTTCAAAACAGGAGTGCACTATCTTAAAATTCAGGCAACTTTAAAAGTTTTTTATTTTTTAACTATCTTGATCCTGTAACACAATACATGGAATAAAGGAAATATGTGGCAGAATGCTCATTGACATCAAGATGGCAGTTAATCAATGCGTAGATTATTTGACCTTAAATTATCTCCAATAAAGGATGTCTAATAGCTTAATTTTTTTTTTTTGCCATAAATGTTTACCTGTTCTTTCTCGTTCTCCTCACTTTGCAATTCTTGGACATATATCTCCTCTCATCCTACACTGACTAGCTTTATTCAAATATCATTCTCTTGCTCATAAACCATCCCAAGAATAAAGCTTTAACAAACAGCCCATAGATGGCTCATAGGTAGTTCACAGATATATTTTGTTTGGCTAACAAAATATTGTTAGCATTTTCGTATTAGTTGCCAGTACTTAAGAATTTGGAGATTTCCGATTTCCAGGTTCTCTTGGAAGATCAAAAGATCTGACAACACAGGCCTACATTCCTGCATGGCAACTGGAATTGGCACAGCTAACCCCTTAGCCTAGGTGTCCACTCACCAGAGCCCGGTCAGACCCTATTGCCTAATAGGATTTCCAGTGCCATGCACCATTTATCATGCTTCTTGCACTGTTTTGCTTGTTTATTTGTTTTGTTTTTGTCTTAGAGGAAACAGGAAAGTATTTCTTATTTATACTCTTTATTTTTTTTAAAGGATCAGGGAAAAAATATCAACAATTGTTGAAAAAACATCAACAATTCAGGTGTTTCCAAAAGAAGGGGAGGGTAGGTATATTTCTTCATGGAAATGAAAATGACTTACCTGTGTTCAATATGCAAACAAAGGCCATCTAGATGAAAGAACCAATTTAATAACCAAAACAAGCCTGCATGCAATAGAGAAAAGCATGAAAAAAGTGTAATGCGTTTGTTTTTAAGAGGAATAAAATAAGTGATACTTTCATAAAATGCGATTACATGTTAAATGAAACAATATTTTCCCGGCTATAATCTACCTCATTCATTCTTATTACTCAACTGGCCCTGTTTAGTATCTGAGTTCAACCCCTTATTTAGAAGCATGTGATATACTCATTTCACAAATCTGTACGTGTACCTCTTGAACCTAAAATAAAATTTTTTTTTAAAAAAGCAGCACATCCAGTCATAGCTGCATGAATTACCTATCCCACCCCACCCCCTACTCCCCCTACATCCCCATTTCAGTGGCCAGGGGCAGTAAACAGCAAAGGCCGTCCAGACCAGCTGTGATTCTGTTCCCTTCCCCTCCCCTTCCTGCTCTGAGCAGTCTGCAAAGATAAGGGTGGCAGCTGTAAAAATTCCTATTAACTCTCCAACTCCATGCTCCTTCCTCCTACACAGGGCCTCTCTCTCTAGGCACATAGGTTGGCAAAATGCCCATTTTGAGAGCGGAGGTCTTCCCTTGCTAATATGGTTCTATTCATTTTGCAAGGCCACAGGCCCGCAGTTGCAGCTGCAAACACTCAGGGCAGATCTCCAGCCCCAGCTCAACCCCTGTGGGAAGGAGCAGAGAGCCAGTTCAAGACAGCAGCCAGATGCAACTAAGGCACCTAGCTCATGTGTACATCATGAGCAGGTCTGTAGCTGCAGAGTGGTATAAAAGTTCTCAAGCTCCCAAATGTTAGGGAAAGAAAGGAGATTCTGATCCACTATGTCTGAGTCAATTCTGTATCCCCAGGACTGGTCACAGTTTGGGACATAGATCAAGTCTTCAGTAAATGTTTGCTTAAAATAGAACGTGGCTCTACTCTTTCTGGAGTATCAGCAGCATGTTTTCAAGTCTCCTCCCTCATTGCTAAGGCCCAACCTCTAGTAATAATGCAATTTAGTCTTGAGGTCCACAAAGTGCTTCCACATGGCTTCTCTTATTTGATTCAACGAGGAAAGTTGCAAAGTAGGTCGGGCTGGTTTTATAATGCCATCTCCAATTTCCAGAAGGGAAAAAAAGAACTTAAAAGAGCTTACAGTGTGCCATATTCAAAGTCTAAGAATCAGTGCTGCGCCTCTTGTTCACTACACTTTAATCTAGGCCACCATAAACTAGGATTATGAACAGGGAGATACACTATAAATTATGAATTATAAAATTATAATCTTTTGTAGAGAAAAACAACATTACCCAAAACAGATGTGCTGTAACAAAAGCAAAAGCAACACTATATAACTGAGGAATACAATTCAGAAAAAAGAAATCAGAATTTTTAAAATGTTTTTATATAGAAATGTTTTACAAAGATTTTACAACATAGCAAATCATTAGGTCATACTGTAGAAAAAGGAAGAAAGAGATTAAACAACAAGAATAAAGAAAGTGCTCATAGCAACGTATTGCAGTCTCCATGAAAGTGCATCAACGGTTAAGGCAAAGCACCATGTTGGTACTGACATGCTGCAAACTGACTTGTAAAACAGTTTTAAAAAATATATACAAACTTTTTTCTGCTATTCTTCCTAAAGGCATTTGAAAGGGATACTTTTGTCAACATTCTTGCTCTAGAACAATGCAGATAACTTCTGGGTATAAAACAGTAAAAGTACAAATGTTCTACCTGAGTGTGTTAAAAGGAAATCAAATAATTTCCAAAACAAAACCTTTACGGGTACAGGCCTTCTTTCTACATGTAACTTGCCAGGCTGAAGGCTTACTCCCTCATATTCTACAACGGGGCATTAACGACAATGGCATGAGTGAGATTAAGACCTTGCCCTTCTGTGTGGTTTTGGCTTCTAGTTTCTATGGCCAAACTCCTGATGTATTGGAAGTCCTTGTGCATTCATTGTGTTATACATTTACAGCTTGACTTCTACCTGCGGCTTACATGCTAGCTATTTTAGGAAGTGCTACATGTGCTTAATACATTATGTTGCCCTACCTGGTAATACAAATACAAAGGCGCTCTTCAAAATTAAACCACAAACCTTATTTGAGAACTCTAATTAAGTATTTTGTTTTTCCACATATATGTAAATCCCTTAAGATCAACAGGATCAGTAAGGATAATACTGGTTATCAAAATTTAATCTTCATACTTGAAGAATTCATTTGTTTTTCTAATATAACTGAGAATAAGTACCAAAAAAAGTAAATTAGCCAGACTTGCACAAGAGTTTTAGGGAAAACTGACATCTCTGAATTCTAGTACAGATAAGAAGTATCTGCCAAAGAATAACTTAATTCACATGACCAACCACTCATGTAAAATTGTATCAACTCATGAAAAAAAGGGGAATTCAGTGTTATCATTATTGTCTCACATTTAAACTGAGTTTTTCTTTTTCTATTTTTTTTTCCCATGCCTAAACCTAAGGGAAATTAACCAGCTCATTTCTGCTGACTTGGGTTTTCTAAGTAGCTTCTAGTCCTGAAGGCATTGCTGCAGTACGGAGAGAAACACCCAGCCATTTATTGAAATTCTGCAGTACAAAACAAGCACATGTGCTCTATATAACCTAGTAACAGAGACACTACAGTTAAACTGTCTTAAACAACAGATGTATTACTTTGATTTTCGTTTGTAACTTCTTTTGCATCAGGACCACAAACAAAAAGCTGGTTCCCCAGAGTCTTTTGGGCAAATCGGAAATACATAATGTGGCCCATGACCACAAAGGAGACTGAAATCAACACAAGCAAGCCAAAAGCTTCAGGATTCGGAGCCAGGATGACCATGATGAAATGCAGAAGATCAAGAAGATAGTTCATGGAGTTCTGTACACCATTTATAATGCCTCTTTCAGATTCAATGACATTTTCTTGGAGCAACTGTGTCACAGTTAAATCAAAGGACCAGAGACCTATAAAAAAAGGTAATTTTTAAAAGACTGCATTTTAATTTATAGCCATACATTTCAGATTTATAGATAAAAATCTCTTGACATATACAAAATACACATTTCAGCCCTATTACCTTTAAGTCACTTTGTATATGTTTATCATAGCCTTGCCCTAAAGAATTATTTTTCATCAGTAAATACGGAGTTAATTGGTGGCTTCAAGAAATGATTATTTATAGTCATCAGATAAAAAATAAGTCTAATCTACAGACATTCTGTTTTTCTGTGATTGTTTGTACTACAAAAGCAAAATTTTGAAATCAGAGACATAATAAATCCTATTTACAGTATAACTACTAGTATTTTTAAGGTATAAAATTACCTGTATTAGGTATAAAATTACATGTATTATAGTTATGATTAAGTGTAAGGAAACTTTAAACCATTGTTACATTTACTGCTTGGGTTCCAAAGCCCATACAATAAAGCTGTCATGCTTGAATATTAATGTCTCCAATAAATTAATGAACTGCTTTATATCACAAGACAAATATAGTTTCACTTCAAGGATGAATTCGGTCACAGATCATTCGTCAATGCTCTATTAATGATTACTCAAATTTTGCTTTGTAAGAAGTCTTTACATTATATTTCCTTCCAAAGCTATAAAATTCACTTGTGTTTATAATGAATACCACAACAGAAGAAGGGACCTTTGAAGAAATTTTTTTCTATCATATGTTTTTTTTAAAACCAGAAACACTACCTTTTTAATGTTGTCCCATAAAAATATTCTCTAAATTACAGTTCTTTAGGTAGAGTTATTGCAATATAAAGACTTTAAATTACTAGATGGCAGTATAATTATTATAACTAATATCTTTTAAAAATTAAATTACATTAAAGGAATAATACTTACGATATTTCTTTAGGAAAAAACTGTCAAGCCCAAAACAATTTTAAGTACAGGTAAATACATACACACATACACAAATAAAGGTTTTTAAACTATAAAATGAAAATTTCATAATTAAAGACTAAATTATATACATAAAGACATATGGTTAATTTTTCTTAAATTAACATTCAGGGAACACTTCAGATCTTTTTTTTTAATGAATTGTCTGTACCTACATTCCAAAAAGACACTTTAGTTCATTAATATACAAAAACATTTCTTACCGATTCTAGCAGCAATGACACCTGCAAACAGCAGACTGACAGAGATTATAGGCACCGATTGAGGACTTGCCTCTGGGGCAATATGAAGGTCAGACCCATTTGATATGTGCATTTCCGTTGTGATGATGGTTTCAGGTATTTTGGTAGGTGTAATTAACTCTTCTTGAATGAATCTTGAACGGATATCTTCAAAAGGAGAAACAGACAAGTCCAAGGGGCTTCCAGGCATGAACACGGAGATGACACACAAGATCAAACAGGAAATCTGTGCCCATCCTGAGATAAGACCAGTCCGAACCAGACCACATTTTCGACGGAGCCAAGTGAAAGCCACAGTTCCCATTATTCCAGTTATAGCTGATGCTCCCATCAAAATACTGAGGACGGAACCACTCAGTCCCTGAGTATAGGCATACCCTGTGGTGATGCAGTCGAAGCCCAGGACGGTCATATAAAGAAAAGCAAGACCCATGCCAGCCAGAAAGATGGGCTGGTTGTAGTAGGAGACCCATCCATCTCGGAAGGTGCGGAAGGGCTCAGCCATCTGAGAAGCACAGGTGGGCTCTTGCTCATGTTCAAGCTCATGGATGTTAGGGTCTTTCTCACCCATTAGATGAGTCCCCTCAAGGGGTTTTGGCTCAGTATCTGTTAATAAAAGATAGCATTATTTGCAGGGGGAGGCGATGGAGGGATAAAAGCCAATTATCTTAATCAGAATCTTTTCTTCTTCTATTCCCTCCCCCATGGGAACCCTTGGTTACTACATTATAATGTCTATTTTCTTTTACTAATAATCTAAGAATTCCAGTCAAGGAACAATCTCTATGTATCCTATGTTTTTTAAATAAACGAAATACTAGTGATCTCTCTCTCTTTTTCCCCCACTCTGTTAGAAATTATACTCTTGCCAAAGTAAATGGCAGAAAAACTTATCAAATAAAATATAAAAATTATGTGGGAAAACATAGTTTCTTATTTGCTGGGGCCTGTTAAGATCTCATTTGCCCAAAAGTCCAACTTCCTCTTCTCCTGGGAAACACCTGTCTTCATGTCCTAACTCCCTTCCACAGCCCTACAAATGACCACGTAACAATCTCAAGAGATTATCTTATTCTATTTCTTCCCAGTGTTCTTCCTATTCCTAGGACTCCGCTTTGCCCAGCCAATCCCTTGACTGACTGCCCCTCTGTGTCTATTATTCACACCAAGGCAAAGGGTTGGGGGCCAGGCCAACCCCATCAGGTTCAACCCAGAGCTGTTACCCAAATCCTCAAGAACCTGGTTTTGCTTCATCTAACAAAGTGATATATGTAACCTCATTCAGGCTTCCACTGGTATAAATTCAAAGTAGTTGATATAAATTCAATAGTTCTGATCTTCACCAATGCTTAAGGTCTGAACATCAGAATAAAAAGGACTGCTCATTGTGTTCAGTTTACCTTTGTGTAAATTCAGCTGTTTCAATTCAGTTTCCTCTACTTTAAGAGCAGCTTTCACAGCTAGAGCAGGGGTTTTCTGGTAAACCTTCCAGAGCAGAAAGTACTCCACACACATGGATACCAAATTCCATCCCGAAATGAAACCACAGCCGATAACCGGGGAGCCATACGTCATAATCTGACCAACAGCCATGGGAGCCAAGATATTGGTGAGCTGGTCAATCCTCCGTACTGTGGCATTCATGTCTGCAGAGGCAGGGGAAACAGGCAGATAAGTGTATACAAACCTACCAAAGACAAACTGCCCACCTTCATAATACTAAGATGTAAACCAGGAGTATAGATTCCCAAGAGTGAATTTCTAAAAGCACTCTGTGAGAAAACCATTTTGTTAGAAAAACATTTGTTTGTGGATCACTCACACTAAATCTGCCTTTAAAATAATAATTTCCTTGAGGTTGTATAAATTAGTCTAACATCAACTTTTAAAAATACAATAGTGATTCAACATTCTTTTTTTCAACAAATATTTGTTAAATGCCTATTGTAAGAATGGTACGCACCATTCTTAACAATTCTTAACACTATATAAGTAATATCCTTCCCTGTCTTCATGGAGTTTACATTCTCATAAATCAACAAGCATACATATATATGTGTACACACACACACACACACACACACACACACACACATATAGCATACTGAATATGTTAGATATTCATTAAATATACTTGTGAAAAATAATGCAGGAAAAAGACAGAGAGTGCTCAGGGAAAAGTTCTAAATAAGGTGAGGTCAGGGAAGGACTCATTTTAAAAAAGAGAGCAACAAAGCAAAGACTTAAAGTGGAAGGAGGGGAAAGAGTGAGCCATTGGATGTCAGTGAAAAGAGAATTCCAGATAAAGGGAAATGTAAACATCCTAGGGCAGGAGGACCAGATCCAGAGTGTTTGAGAAACAACAGAGATCAATAGGGCTGGGGCCAAGCAAGGAAGAGAGACGACAGAAGAGATGAGGTGAGAGTATGAGGGGAGACTGCCCCAACCATGTACATTCTTATAAACATCATATGGACTTTGACTTTTACACGGAATGTGTCTGGAAGCCTCTGGAAGGTTTGAACACAGAGGTGGCAAACTTGGACATATTTTTAATGGTTCATTTTGGCTACTATGTTGAGAAAAGACCACAGAGTGAGGGTGAGGAAGGTGGGGAGCAAGAGCAGAGGTAAGGGGATGGGGGGAAATGATGGTGGCGTAGAGCAGGGTGGTAACAATGGGAATAGGCAGAAACGGATGCTGCATACACTTAAAGGCAGAATCAGGACTTGCCAACAGATTAGAGAAAGAGAGGAACCAAGGTTGACCCTAAAGTAGGCTTGCTTTTGTTTTTGTTTTTATTTTCTTGATCAACTGTTGGAAGGATAGAGTTATCACTGACTGAAGAATACCTCAAAACAATCAGGTTTGGTGCAAAAGAACAAGTGCTTGGTTTTGAAGATGTTGATTTCGATAGGCTTACTGACATTCAAGAGGGCACATCAAGCAGGCAGTCAGATATATAAGGGTGGAGTGTAGGAAGAAATAGGAGTCAGATTTAGGAGTCACCAGCTGGTTGATTTTTTAAACAACAAAACTAGACAAGATCACCAAGGAAGCATATGTAGATTGAGAGGAGACAAGATCCGAGGACTGAGTGCTGGGTACACCGATGTCAGGAAGTTAGGAAGGTGAAAAGAGCCCGGTTCGGTGGCTCAGCCTGTAATCCCGTGTTTGGGAGGCTGAGGTGAGTAGATTGCCTGAGCCTGTGGGTTTGAGACCTGCCTGGGCAACTTGGGGAGACCTCATCTCTACAATAAAATCAAAAACACGAGCCAGGCATGGTAGCGTATGCCTGTAGTTCCAGCTCATTGGAAGGCTGAGGCAGAAGGATCGCCGGAGACCAGCAGGTCGAGGCTGCGGTGGCCGGGAGTGGCCACTGCACTCCAGTCTGGGCGACAGGCTAAGGCTCCAACTCAAAAAAAAAAAAGAAACTAACAAAAGAGGAGACAAAACAAGAGAGTGTGGTGTCCTAAAAGCCAAGAGGTGACAGAGTTTCAAAGAGGTGGGAGTAACCAACTATTTGCTGCTGACAGGTCAAGAAAGAGGAGTGCTGAGGAGAGACACTAGATTAGTCACATGAAAGGCACCGGGGACCTTGGAAGAAGTAGAGCAGCAAGGGCAATGCCTGATTAAAGCTGGTTTAAGGAATGGATACCAACTCCAACAGACACCGTTTATCTTATATTTTAGGTGTGCTTTCTGGAGCACAATGTGAATGCTGTCCCACAACCTTAGAAAAGCAAGGTCTTGTCCAAAGAAAGGAAATGGAAATAGACAGCTCTTCTTGATATGTTTTGCTGAAAAGAGGTACCAAAAAAAGGAAGCAGCAGAGGAAGAAGTGTGGTAAAGATAGGGATTTTTAAGAAGAGTAAAATTAGAGAGCCGGGCTCAGTGGCTCAGCCTGTAATCCCGCGCTTTGGGAGGCTGAGGTGAGTGGATTGCCTGAGCCCACGGGTTCGAGACCGGCCTGGGCAGCGAGACCTCATCTCTACAATAAATCAAAAAATTAGCTGGGCGTGGTAGCGCACGCCTGTAATTCCGGCTACTCGGAAGGCTGAGGCGGAAAGATCGCCGGAGCCCAGCAGGTCGAGGCTGCGGTGGCCGGGAGCGGCCACTGCACTTCAGTCTGGATGACAGAGTAAGACTCCAACTCAAAAAAAAAAAAAAAAAAAAAATTAGAGCATGTTTTTCTCCTGCCTGGAATGATACAGATGAGACGAGATGGAATCTGGAATGATACAGTTGATGAGAAGGGATGGAATATGGAATGATATAATAGATGAGAAGGGATGGAATCCGCATCTACTGCATAAATGGAGGAATTGCTCTTAGACAGTAGCACAAACAGTTCATCAATACCAAGAAAGGAGGCCATGTCTGCGGCCTCAGGTACAGGCAGGAAAAGGGATGTGATGGTGGGATCAAATGGAAGCTCCCTTCTCACGTCTTCCATTTTCTCAGTAGAATACAAAGCAAGGCCACCAGTAAACATGAGGATGGGGAGGAGGACCTGAACATGCAAGGAGAGAGGATAAAGCATGAAATAGTCCTCCAGGAAAGTGGGAGAAGGAAAGAATCAGAAAAAACAGTATGATTAACTGGCAGCGTGAAAGGGCCCACTGGAACCCAGTGGTCCTGAACTTGAGTGAACACTGAGCAAAGCCACATGTTCCTCTCCAGCCATGCTCTACTATAGAGAGTTGGATTTAACCAGGTCTTATTAAACACAGCGACAAAGGAGAGGGAACCACATGAATAGAGGATATATGCTAGGAGGGGATCAGATAATATGACTGAACTTGAAATTTAAGCTGGTAAGAAAAGGAGGCAAGAGAGGGGTCATGGACAGTGAAAAGGCAGTGGAATTAATGACTTGTAGGTGCCAACCAGGCTGAAGGCTTGTTGAGACTGTGGCCAGGAAGGAGTGACAGGAAAGATGGAAGGTGGTTGTTCAAGACATGGATGTCTAAAATTGAGATTATGGAAGGGAGGATCTAGTGGTGATGACAAGGCTAGAGATGGACCAGGGGAATGCATACCTGAGTCAGAGAGAAGGACAAGATGAACAAAGAGGAAGAAAATGCCCAACACAAGAATTGATAAGTGCTCAGGATGATGGATATGCTAATTACCCTGATCTGATCACTATAGGTTATATGTATTACAATATCACCATGAATAGGTAAAATTATTATGTGTCAATTAAAAATGTCATAAAATAAACCAAAAGCTTTTCTTAAAAAAAGAAAATGACCTACTTTCTCACACCCCATCTCATGGAACAGAGTGAAAATCAGTGAGACAAGTCTTTAACCACTATTTGGTTCACTTTAAGGGAAAAGCAGTATGTGAGTAGTAAGTACATTGACAGAAAACTGCCTTTATTCCTTCTCTGATTCTTCCTCGTCATCAATTACTTTCCAATTAGTCCTATGAGTGCACAATGCTTACATGATAATAGGAGAACTTTGACATATTTCACCTTTCACTTGAGAGGCAAAGGCAGCTTTCATTGATCTGACACTTGTCTTGGCAGAGGCTTCACTAACATCCATTGTCCCCCATCCCCCCAACTAGTAAGTTACCAACGCATATGCCAACAGGTAAGTGTGAAATTGATCCAAATAACTCAATCTTTTGAATCTAACAAGTAACTAAAAAAATATATACTTGAAACTTAAAGTCCCAGAACAACCACCAAAAAACTTTTTTTCATTAAAATTATCTGTAACTTTCACTACCTCAGCTTTCAAGTGCTCACAAAACCTCCAAGGTCACCAACTTCTATATTCCTTATTATACTCAGAAAATCAAAAGCAATGTCAGAAATCAGCTGTTATTTTGCTGAAGCAGAATGAATTAAATAATAATTTTTCAAAAAGACTTAGTTGTTTTACTGGTGACAGGCCAAAAAAAAAAAAAAAAAAAATCAGTCTTCTGAATATGCAAACCTATGCTCTTTACAAATTTTTATTTATTCTTATATAAACACACAAATGTGTGTTCATTTGATTCCAACTTAACTGTTTTTAGCTACAGCTGGGGCACAAAGCATGGCATTAAATAACTACTTCTATTATAAAGAGTATATCTCATAGAAGAATGATTTTTTAAACAATGATTTGTTGTAACAAATAGCAGTTAGCAGGTTTATCTACCTCAAACATGAAATCAATTTTTAATCAATAGAGCTCAAGTGTATCTGCCATACTTGATCAGGTTAACCAGCAAATATTTTTAGAATGACAGAAGAAAAATCTCAGAAGATATTAATAAATAGTGATCCACAAAGGAAAGAGGGAAGGAAATAAAGCAATAGGTGGAATAAAAGAGTTGGGGGAAAGAAAGTGAGTTTCAGACAGGTTAAGTAGGCTAAGGACCATGACATAAGAGAACGTTTTAGTAAAATGCTGTACTAAATCAAGTGCCTGCAAAGTGCCTAAATTACTTAACAGATTAGTTAACAGTATTTATGGAAAAAAAAATACCTTTTCTAAAACTGATGGTAAAGCAATATTTGGCCTGATATTACTGAAATTTTAAAACTTTTAAACTTTGCCGGGGAAATGTCTCTTTTTTCCTCAGTGATGGCCTAATTTTAAAACCATCTCTAAAATCAGGAAACACTAGGATGAGGAAATGGGAGAAATTAGTATCCAGCTCACAGCCTTTACTTCTTACGAGCACACCCGTTCCCCTTCACCCTTCAACCTCTTCACACATACACACAATATATACAGGGGAAGCTTTCCCAGTCCGGTTCCTTATGTGGGCTTCTAAAAGACTCTGCCACAGCCTCAAAACCAGCCTGCATTAATTTAAATTATTCCTGACTGGAGTGGGTGTGACTGTGTACAGAGATGCAACCTCACGGGAGCCCAGGGCAGCAGCTGAAGTCCCCTCTAGCTGTGTTTCTCTTCTCCCATTTTTCGTTTATCTTCCTCCTTTTAATCTGTTCTCCTTTAACTCTGCTGTAGCAGAAGTGGCACCAAGAATCCATGATTCGACACCTGCTGACCCTGAGAACCAAAGAAATTTCTGTATCCTGTTTTGAAACACGTAGTAGGGTTTCCTTCACTGGTCTACTAACCCACACTCCTGGCTGGAAATGAAAAACATCACTTACTAAAAGCTAACTTTGAGTGGACAAGAGTTCAACAGGCCGCTTACTTCCTTTCTTAAACTTGAAAAACTCCAGAACGTTAAAAAAAAAAGACTGAGTAGCCTAGATTTTTCCACTCTGCAATAACTCATAATATCAAGAGGGACAGCTGAAAAATGGTCAGTCATATTTGTGTTGTTGTTGTTCTTGGACATCACTTCATAGTCAGAAAGATCCCACAGAGTTAGGTGGGATGATATATATATATATATATATACACACACACATACCACACATTTTTGACCTTACAAAGTCAAAAATGAGTTCCGTTCAGAAAATCAGATAGGTGAAAGAAAATCATTTTAAGAGGCAACTTTCTCTCCCAGATATATTTCAACAAATATATATATATGTGACCTGTTTTCAAAAGATATCCTTTTGTACTCTTTGAATTTTAAAACATGAACATATTTCATATGCTTACAATAGTGGATTCAAAAGAGAAAGTAAACAAACAAAAACTGGACAAAGTCTTATCTTCTAGCTCAATGTGACAAAAAGAGATGTGAGTTATTTATTCTTTACTGTAAATGATCACAGGAAGAAAAGTCAATGAGAATTACTGAGGTTCCAGAGAGAATTTCCTGTAGTTCAGACTCACACGTGCTCAATTCATCCTACACACATACCATCCTTAAAAATCACTGTGGTATTTCTACTTCAACTACAATGCAGCAACCAAAAAGTGATGATTTAGGCAAATTCTTCTTCTTCTTCTTCTAGACATTCCATAGACTTTGTTCTTTTTCAATCACCAACCCCCTTCCTAACTTTTTTTTTAATCACATGGTCTAGTCAAACAAAGCTGCTTGCTAACCCCAGCACATAATCTTTCCTTCTGTGTCTTGGGATAAGTCACTTAAGTCATCAAGAATGGTGTTCTTGTCTGTAGGGATGGTTGGATGATGTGTTGGTGAAACCCATTATCTAAGAGTTGATTCAGCTGATTCAACAGGTAGCTAGGCGCACCCTTCCTCCCCTTCATCCTGAGTAATTATCAATCCAATTTGCACCTGTCATATGGGGGGCAGGTAGGGAATACTGAATGAAGGAGGTTATTCTGAGCCTAAATAATACTGATGGACTAGGACACATTGCTTTGTAAGCATTCTTCAATTTCTCTTTGGCCACTTGCTTATATTCCCAATGAACAACTAAGATTATAAACTTCTTAGAAACTAGATTCTGTCCCCTATTTCTTTAGTATTTATAATAACAAGTATATTCCATCATACATAAGTTATAGATTATAACTTTAAAGTAGACAAAATTAACTTCTAGAATCTCTCCTACAAATAATTTGTTTCCATTTGGTTTGCAGAAAAATACATCCATATTATGGTTGATCGGTACAATAACATCCATTGGTAGGAATGGTAAAATTCCATGTCAAATTTTCACTGTTCTAAGTATTCAGAAAACATTTAGAATCAGATAATAATTTTTTTTAAAAAAAGGGAAGAAGAGAAAGTTCAAAACAGATGTTCTTCCATTTGTCAAGACTGCATAGGCTAAAAGAGAAGTTAATTATCTTATAAATTAACTTTATAACAGTCAGATAAATCTTAGCACTAAAGCAATAAGGTAAGAAAAAAACTATGCTTTCAATTAATTGTTCTTTTAAAAGTCCAGAACAAATGGGAACTGGCAACCAATTCCTGATCAAAATCCCAAGTGCCCATGCCATAAAAGATAGACAAGTGGGACCTCATCAAACTGACAAGCTTCTGCAAAGCCAAATAAACCATCAAGAAAGTGGAGAGACAGCCCACAGACTGGGAAAAAATATTTGCCAACTATATATCTGACAACGGCCTAACATCCAGGATCTACAAGGAACTCAAACATGCCAAAAAGAAAAAAAACAAACAGCCCTATTTAAAAATGTGCAAAAGATATTAACAGACACTTCTCAAAGAAGACATACAAGCAGTCAGCAGATACATGAAAAAATTCTCAGCCTCTCTATTCATCAAAGGGATGCAAATTAAAACTGCACTGAGCTACCACCTAGCTCCAGTCAGAATGGCTAGCATCAATAACTCGAAAAACAACAGATGCTGGAGAGGATGTGGGAAAAGGGAACACTCCTACCCTGTTAGTGGGGGTGTAAACTACTACAACCTCTGTGGAAAACAGTATGGCGATTCCTAAAAGACCTAAAAATCAATCTCCCACATGATCCAGCAACCCCCCTTCTGGGAATATACCCAGAGGAACTCAAATCATTCTACAAAAAAGATACCTGCGCATGCATGTTTGTTGCAGCACTATTCACAACAGCAAAAACATGGAACCAACCATGCTGTCCAGTCCATAGACTGGATTTTTAAAATTTGTTACATATACACAGTGGAATATTGTGCAGCCATAAAGAAGGACAAAAATTATGAACTTCACAGTAACTTGGATGGATTCAGAATATCTGAATATCTGTGATATTCAGTGATCTATCACAGAAACAAAGAACTGAGTACCACATATTCTCACTCATAAGTGGACCCTGAATAATGGTCATAATAATATAAGAAAGGGAATGGCAATAGTGGGAAACTGCCAGGGGAGGGAGCGGGGGGCAGGAGAGCCACACTTCATCAATAAGAGTACCTGATCTCAAACCAGGTAACATGGGGACCAAAGTGAGGTCCAAACTTTACCTGTACAATGACCATTTGTATACCTAACCCTGAATTGTACCCCACATCTTTAAAATACAAATGGTAAAAAATAAAAATATAAAAATTCCCAGAATAACAACAAAAAAATGCTTACATCCTCATTTATTACCACGGATTTAAAGTGAATCCTAATATACCCATTTAATTGAAAGAGAAAACCAAATTACTTGCTAGTTTGCTTCTGTCTTCTCCTGCGACGACAACAATCCAATCCCTCTGGATTGTGATTGCAGTAGCAGTACTGGCCAAATTTGCAATATTTGCAATAGTGATGATCAGGATGTAGCAGGAAGTCTAAAAAAATGACAAGAAAAAACTGAGTTATAACATCAGTTTACAACACTGCACCTACCTCACTAAATAAGGTAGTTTAAAATGGTCTTTAGTGGCATAATAATAAAAATGTTGATTTCGATATCATTTATAAGAAATCATTTTACTTTGTATACATGAAACCAGTGGTCAAGTTAAGGAGGATAATGTTGTCCTAATTTGTATCATCTGTAGTACACACAATACAAAAATTGTAATAGTCATGTGACCAGAGTTATCATAAAATGTTCACACTGTGGTGGTTTTTAACATTTCTCCCACAAATACCTCCTTTGAAGAGAACATCAAAGGGGAATTTAACAAGACTTATATTTAAGTCAGAATTCTGACACTATCTAGTTGCATGACAAAGGGCAACCAACTAACCACACTTTCATTTTTTTCATTAGCAAATGAAAGTCAAACTCAAAGATTTCTAATGTCCTGTCTGGCTCTGAAACCCTATTGTTTCAACCCACATATATACAAGAAGCCTCAACAGTGACACAAAATCTGTTGTTTTCCACCGCACACCATCCCTCTCCTCTTTTCCATCAAGCTATTGTGAAATCATAGCATGAAAAACTATCTGGTTGATATCCTCAACAGAAATGACAATTGTTATTGGAGGAAAACAATCATGAGTGATTAACATACATATGGACAATATGCCTTATATAGTGTGAAATTATAGGTCACCAAAAAAGCTGAAAATTAACTAACAACTGAATTATGTAATCAACTCTTAGAAAATGCCATTAAAAACCAATAGAACAAAATTTAAATTCAAATAATGTTTAATGAGTGCCAGTTATGGGCAAAACAACAATCACAAAACAAACTATAGGGGATATTATAGTAAACAGAGATCAATATTAAAAGGTGACATCTGCAAAAACGACACACCCTAGCTTCAAAGTGGTTTCATCTTTTACCACTACCAGATATTTGATCTTCTGCCATCAAGAATCGCATTGAAAACTTACAAGAACCCATCCATGGTACATGGTCAGAAGCTCATCTTTATGTAAGAAAACCATCATCAGGATGATTCCACATAGGATGACAGAAACATTCTGTATCACTAGCGATGTCTGGGCCACTGCACAGAGAAAGAAACAAAGTGTTCACTACACCAAAACATTGCAATTGAGCTGTTTTTATCTACATGTCATTGTTCTATAATAATGCATCAGCATAAGTACATACAATAAAAGAAAACCTCCCTGAAGTAAATCCTGCCTCAACTAGTCCCAATACGACCCAGTGGATCACAGCAGACCAGTAAAATTCACAAACACATGATGAAGTACTTACAACTTTTCTGTTAGTTGAATTCTTTTATAATGACCACATTTTCATTAAGCTTATTCTCTTGAAAATTTACCAACATAAACAGAACTACAGTATGACCAGAGCTACAGTATGATCCATCCTTCAGTTCTTTGTTGCTTAAGCTAAAACAAGAACATGCAGGAGGTTAAGAAGGAAGCTAAAGAGAAAGTTACAGAATCCATAAGCTCCTACATGGCAGGTTAAATCTAAGAAGATGGTATAAATGAATAGACAAGACATGCAAAAATTTGTCAAGAACAAAGCAGCAGTGTATTTCCTTTGGCATTTTCATACTCTTTGCCATTGATAACGAAATTCTAAGCTACACCTTCCATCATAGAAAACGGCAACTCTTAGAGCAAGGCACTGTGTAGACAAAGTGTCAAAGTAAGGGTAGATAAGGAGGATACCTAGTAGTCTTTTCTCTGTCACTCACTAGGTAGATGATCTAGGGCAGGGAACCTAATGTCTCTTATGCCTGTGTCTAGAAGATGAGGATGGTAATACCCGTCTTCCTTACTTTATGGGGCCATAATTATACTCAAATAAAGTACTTATGAAAGCACTCTGAAAAATATAGAGTTGTATATGTACGGGTTAATTACAGCTCTTGTCTTCAAGGATAGTAGGGCTCAGCCTGGCTTGGAAGGTTGTATCAAAAACTCAAGACAAAAACAACAACAAAAAAACTGTCTTCTGAAAGCAGTCTGAAATAAAATCCCAAGATGTAACTCATTCATTCAATTGCTGCACAAGGATTAAATTATGAACTGAACGAGGTTTTTAGCTTTCAGGATCCCACAGAGCAGAAGAAGAAAAGATAAGGAAACAAGTAATTATATCAGTATAAGTGCAATAGCAGAGGTATTCGCAAGGCCTCCTGGGAGCACAGAAGAAGAAATGGTAAGCTGAGCCTAGAGATATCAGGGAAGAGTTTTCATAAAGGGTGACATATGCATTGATTTTACAGGATAAGTGGGAGTTTGCTATCCTACCTCTCTTCTTCATCCAACTCAACTTCTCTCCCATCCTATAATTGCAGTTCTCAACAGTCATAAGGTTTCATATATAATATTCCTACATTCCTATGTATAATGATGCAAATAAGTAGAATTTTTTTTAGATTACAGAGCTTTTATTTACATGTGTTCAGGTCTAGTCATTTTCAAAACAGGCAAATATTCATTTTGATCATTTTATTAGTAACAACAAGTCCTGGAACCTGATAATCCTGTCGCTCTATATTCGAGAGCAGGATCCTGCACCGAAAGAGACTAATGATACCTCAATCTTTACCCAATATCTAAGACAGGCATGATCAGGTCTCGGCATTATCAACTGAGCAATTCAAGAAAATTTTGCCCTGAGTTGTTCTCCACATTACCCTTACATTCTGATTAAACAAACTACTCAATCACATTCTCTCTTTCCTGTATAAAATGATTTCAGTATTAATGCTTAGGAAAAATGACAATATATTATTATTTTTTCCTGAAAAATGCATAATGCAGTTCTCTGTGCTCCAGGCTCAGCTATTCTTTCTTGAATCTATATTTAGTTTTCCATTCCCTTACACACACTCTTGCATGAAACACAACCACCAGAAAACAGATGTTAAAGCGGGTCCAAGGAACATCACACTGAAGGGATTGCAGAGCAAGTCATGGTTGGGAAGGAAGCCCAAGTTGAGCAAACTTTTAATGTTTAACACGGTTCTCAGAAAAGTGTTACATGGTTAATCATTAACATCTGGAATTCATGAACAGCCAAAGATACCCAAAAAAAAAATCTATGAGGTCAATGCCTGGCATTTCAACTTTGTGAAAAAGCTCCAGGATCTTCAATCCAGAGGTACTGCCACCAAGCAGACACTGGGTTAGTCACAGTGGCTTCTCTCTTAGTTTGTTGCTCCCTCTGTTGCAGAGGTAGCTCAGGTACCAGTCCCACGAATACAAGGGCTTAATTATATAACAACACTCACCTTTAAGTCTGGCATTCTTATCCACCCAGTCGCCAATGATGGCTCCCAGGACCAGAACAGATCCTGCTACCACCAGCCCATAGACTGCAGTCAAGAGAAGGCTGTTTCCATAGAGTTCTACCAGAAACACAGACACAGCAAAGTGCCACATCCGATCTCCCTGGAATAAGAAGAAAAAAGAAAATGTTTTGATGGAATATTTTTAGTTTCTAGTCAACTATACTCAGGAAGTTGCTTCCTTATCAAAGGAGCACTTTCTGGCCACATCATGAGACTTTCAAAGTCAATAATTACTCTATCGATTGACTACTGGTCAGATGTTAAAACTGTTCATCCCAGTACAATGGAAAATCTTCTTGCCCAATTACTAACTAAACTCAAAAAAGCATGATACTAATGAAATACACATACTCCTTATCATTCTAGAAAAAAATGCAGTTTCCAAACCCAAGATGGCTTTCTGAGACAAAACCTATTCTCTTATGTGCTAAGTTTCTCCTCAGGCCTGGAATCTACCTATCCTGATTTAAGAGGCATAAAGTAGTTTGCCACTGAACCAGAACTAAATTCCAGTACAGTTCACGAACATTAGTATACCTTAAATGTCAAGAGAAAGCCAGTTTCCCCATCTGTAAAAGGATAGGAATGGACTATATGATCTCTAAGGTTTCTTTTACCTCTAACATTCTAAAATCTATGCTGTGTTTCATAAAGTCATAAAACAAATAAATTTCAAAGTCATAAAACAGCACAGCGATCAGAAAGATGAAATCAGTAAGGGCAAATTCTAGCACCACATAAATAACGATGTCAGAAAAAACTTAGATGCATAAGTAGTTAAACAGTTTAGTATGGTTGGGTTTTGAAAGGAGAAAAAACTACTTATTTCTTTACATGCACTCCAGAGTATATAGGGATTTTGGAATTCATTACTGTGAAATGTGGCTTAGCAGAAACTTTAAGTGAGTCAGGTAAATTAATGTATTAAAAAATCTCTAACGGGCCTTGTTATAAGATTTTGGGCTCCATCTTTGATTTCCAAGGCTAACATCAAGAAGGACAATAATGTTCCATCATATCTCAGGATATCACTATAGGAAACCACCTTTCCTGGCTGGATTCCTCATGGGTTTCACCCTATGTGAAGTACTGACTCAACTCCTAGTTTTTTCCAAATTATATTAACATCTTCATGATAAACTTCATGCACTGGAAGCAAAGTACTATCCTGATGTCTAATCATTTAAAAAATTTAGTAAAGCCAAAGCAACAATTTTATGCATTCAAAAGTTAAATTGATGCATGCTAGCAATCATTTACAATGAACTTGTGTAGACCAGTAGTTCTCAACTATAGATGACTTTACCCCTCCTCTCAGGGAGTATATGAAAATGTCTGGAGTTATTTGGAGTTGTCACAGTTGCAGGGGACACTGCTGTTTTCTCAATCGTTAACAAGAAAAGCGATTTAGATTTGATTAGAATTTAATGGGATGGGGAGAGGGGTAGTACTTTATCCTAATCTCGATTCCTCTGAATAGCTCCCAAGGAAAAGACCAAAACACAAATATGTCAAATGCCAGGTACCCTCTGTGAGTGAGTTTTCTCTGTCTCAACACACACGTTAAGAAATACTGTTCTAATGTTGTTGCTTCCTTCTTTTGTTCTTTTTTCACCCTACAAAAAATTGTTTTGGAGTCCTCTAAAACAGGCCATCAAAACTAGTGCTTATTAAGTGAAAAGCTTATCTCTTGCCTATTCCTCCATGGTACGCCACCTCCTTGATGAAGAGGAACAAAATTGTTTCAGTTATTCGAATTTCCAATGGCTTTAAGAAGCAACATATTCTACACTCATAAAAAGCCCAAGAGTTGAGTAAAAGCTGATGTAAATATTGACCAAGTGCCCACCCATTCCTTCCTTACTCCATTTCCTGGCCTCCCACCTACTCTCACCAAGCTTTAATGATTTGTTTACATGCCCATCTACCCATATTGGACTGAGAGCTGAAGGCCAATCGAGCATCTGTGAATAAGTGACCACAGTCATTAATCCGCTTAATGAATATCGATTGAGCAGCTACTACACACCTGACACTCGCAGACACCAGAGCTTCAGCAGTGCACAAAAATCACAGAGCATGCTTTCATGTAGCTCACATGACAGTTAGCTGGGATCAAAAGCAAGCCCAGCACTGGGCAGGTGGTACAGAGTGCTATGAGGACAAATAAAGTGGGATGGGGCTGGAAGGTAGACTTTTGCACAAAGTGGTGACAAAGGTCTCCATGAGCAGAGAAGTAAGACCTGCAGGAGGAAAGTGCTGGAGAAATGCGGACACACTGGTGTATAAGTAGAGAGGTTCCTTAGGGTAATAAGATCCAAGCAACTGGCCCTTCTTTTTCACTACAATACACTGAGTTATCTTTTCCCGATTAGCTACATTTTTTTAAAGTCCATACTAAATATAAGCTTCTTGACAAGAGGATCCAATTCTCATACTACTTTGGATTTTGATAGTACAGAGTAAAATGTATTGGTCCACTGGTAAAGAGAAATGAAATCAGAAATAAAAGGCATTCAACCCCACACCAGCCTAACCTGAGATAAATAACCTTCTGTTCTAAGGCCCCTCTGCTGAGTGTGTAGAAAATTATGATTTGGCAGGGCTGGCAGGGAAATGGATAGATATGCATATACATACACACATGTGTATACATATACGCAAAAATATACATGTCTTGTTGTAATCAAATCAGGCACAGTGCCACACAAGAGATAAACTACAAAATGTAGAATCACCCAGTGTTAAAGACATCCTTCTTACAAACTCCTTTGCAGTGAGAAGTAAAAATCCTCTAAACCCAGCTGCTGGGTTTTTTGTTTGTTTATGTTTTTGTTTGGTTTTTTAATCAAATTTTCTCACAAGAACTTCTTTTGCTTGACTTACTATAAAGTTGGGATTAGCATCTGTCACCTTTATTGTAGGACTTTCCATTAACAAGACAAAAAGTCATCCTGAAACAACCACAGTTTCATCCTGAAACAATCACAGATTTTTGGTACATCTGACCTCCCAACCAATTAACCAAACGTAACACAAACTATAATCACCATTCGGAAGTGAGGCCCTGCTTCCACCAAGAACCGGGTCCAGATCACAAGCTGAGAATTTCAGGTATTATTTCCATCACCTGTTACTAATGTTTAATATTTACTGAATTAAATTAGAAGAATAAACTATTGATTTAGACTTAAGATTTCATCAGGTTTCTACTTAGAATCATTGGTTAAATTAAAACAAATAATGCCATTTCCACTTTGTTTACATGTATTTGCAGATTCATCCTTGCATAAACCTCTGGGAAGCTTACTTTTCTAAAAAAAACCACCTACAAACTTCTTTCTTAGAAAGCCAATAGTCTAGCCTAATAACTTCCAACGGGCATATGATATAGATTTCTTCTTACAGTGGTTTCCATTCATGTCTTAGTAAGATCCAATATAAGTTTCCAATTTAAAAGAAAAATAACATTCAAAAAATGTGTTCTCAAAAAGTTTATTTCCAGTTATTTTTAACTAAATATATGAGGCATGAAGAAGATATAGTCAGATATATTCTTTTTAAACAATAAGAACAACTGTTTAATTTTAAAGATTATAACCATCAATAATTAAACACACATCCAACACCCTTCTGTATTATTCTTTTTTGTGGGGAGTTGATGAAGAAACCCGGACCCACAGACACTAGGATTCTTCTGAGAGTTCACAAAAAGTTAGAAAGAAAATCATGAATCAGTTGCTGATTTTCATTGGATGATTTTTAAGATAGCCTGAGATGCCCCACAAGTTATCTAAATACAGATAACATTCTTAAAGACTAGAATTTTTGTCACTCAGATATTTGTTCTTGGGGTCATTTATATTTAAATTAATCTTAGAATGCTATCATTAGTCTCAATAAGTCACTCCACCATTCTACTGTGTCCTCTAATACAGTATGCTGGGATTAAATTTTAACAAAAGAAGAAAACAGAAATGTCTTAAAATGCGAAAGAATAGAAGGCAAAGGAGACACCCACCATTCTTAGTAGCAGACAGGACCCTTTACTAAGTCCAGAAATGTAATAAACAATTTACAAAATTTCTTTCCTTGTTAATCCTGTCTTTGTATAGTTGTCAATCTATATAAAGTACGATAATCTGATAATTAAAGAGCAGTAACTAAGATTCATGAAAAATATCTTTGATGCAAATAACTTTTTCATTAAAGCATGTGAAGGGTGCTGGATGTGTGGATTATTCTTTTTGGGAAAGAGTTGATGAAGAAAACCAGATTCAATGAAACAACTCGGACTCCTCCAAGACCACATGTATGACAAAACTGGAAGTTGGCTTAAAACAATCGTCCCAAATTAAAGGAAACAAAAACTGTGCGCCTGTGTTGTAGGAATGTGCTTTCTCACTTACCCAAGTGGAGAGAGAATGACCAAGGTAGAGGAGGAATTTTGCAGAGGTCAGGTAGTTTGCTAAGGATCCTGCAAAGACAGGGGGGTGGAGATAAAAAAGCGAATATAATCACTTGAAAGAGATGGGGCTACAATGCTTATCCATTTGCTCTTATTAAAATGTGATTATTAAAGGCTACTTTGTGGGACAAACCACGTACGTGTTATCAAGTCACCTAGGAGCTAATGCATTTAGTTTGCTGAGTTAAGCTCACCACAAACCATTGGTCAATAACTGCCTAACTTCACATACAGTGAGGAAACTCTTGTTTCAACATTCATATTCTCTCTCTCTCTCTCTCTCTCTCTCTGTCTCTCTCTCTCCTCCCCGTCCCCCATAAACAAACAAATAAATAAATATATTCTCTATCTCTCTATCGCTCTCTCTCACTCTCCTCCTTCCCCCCCCCCCATATATATTCTCTCTCTCTCTATCTATTGCTCTCTGTCTCTCTACCTCTCTTTTCAACACAAGACAATCCAAACGGCCCCGCCTGCTCCATCCGTACCTGTGTGCAAGCCCCCTCTCCCACACCTTGAATTTCCTTTCTTCCTTAACCTGCACCCAAGAGGAGTCGGAGGATCTTTGGCAAAGCACTATGGTAAACAGCAGAACCACATTCCTCCAAAACCTGTGCAGGGGCAGTCTCAGAGCCCGAGCCCGACCAGTGCCGCCACCGCATGCACCGAATCAATGCAACTCACGGCAGCATCCTCCCTGGCGCTCCTGTTCTCTGGCTCTGGACATGACCCCAGGTGACCCCGCGGGCTCTGCTGCGGCTGCTGCGGCTCGCGCCGAGGTGCGGGTTAACAGGAGTGCCTAGAACTGGAGGCTGCACCGCTGGAAACACAACCTTGTGCAGAAAGATCGCAACGACAACCGTGGAAAGAAGGACGCGAGGAAAGCGGCCCGGGGGGTCTCCTTTTTCCTTCTTTCCAAACTTAGCCAACACTGTAGCTGAAGTCGGAAAGGCAAAGCCTTATGGACGCGGGGTGGGAGGCTCCGCGGCAGTCCGAAGGCTGCAGACGCCCCTCCAGCTCTCGCCGCCGCCGCCGCCGCCGCCGCCGCCGCGGGCCGGGCACTGCTTTTATACGGCCGGGGGCGGGCTTTTTGTTGTGA